CCTTTTCTCTGTACACACACACAGCCGTTCTCCCAGCACTACACTGTCCACTCTTCCTGGCTGATTGCGGAGCTGCCCTGACGGTGTGTTTCGAGCTTGGGTCTCTCTGGGCCAGCTCGCTGTTTTTTATTTGGTTGTTTTATCATCATTGTTCTTTTTTGCTTTGACTCTGCAGTCTTAACACCTGGCGGGCAGCTCTCTTTACCCTTTTTAAAGTTTCCCTTACCTACTCAAGGCTGGCAGGGTAGTTGCTTCATGTAAGTCTAGAATGAGTGAGAGTTCCTCAGAAATTGGGAATGGTTTGAATTTGCAGACAGCATGAAGGAAGCTGGCACCTTTCTGTTAACTGCTCCCATCGAGGATCGTGGAATGGTCTCCATTATCTCACTTACTGTGTTAGAGTCTTGGAATTTTCTCCCAAGTGGTCTCATGTTTGATTCTTTAGTTTAGGTTGTTTTGTGACTGTATCATTTTTATGTTACCATGTTTCTAGCCGGTTACTGCTGGTTTTGGAGGTAGATCTTGTGTTTGGCCACCGAGTCGGGTCCCTGCTTGTTCTGTGTCATGTTCTAGGAGAGCTTGCCAACGAGACCTGGGTGTTCTCCCTCCTGTCCCCACGTGTCCTGATGGCTGGCGATGGCCAGAGTACCAGTGCCCTTAGGACTTCTGCGTACATGCTTGTTTTGTTCTGATTTTAAAGGCAATGAATGCATCTGACTAAGAACAGAAGTTGGCTAAGGAGTTTTGTTTTTAATCATATGAGTGTATTGAATTTTGTCTTTTTTAGTTTTTATACAAATTGATCTATTCATTGAGATTTTCAATTTGGGGGTCATGTGTTTGTTTGTAATACTCTTCATTTTTAATCTCTGTTGTGTTTGTATTTGTTTCCCTTGTTTATTTTATTTTTTTGGCAGCATCTTTTCACTATGTCGACCTTGATCAGTTTTACCACAAGGCTACTGTGTTCCTCTTTTCCTTTTTTTTTGGCAGGGATTTTATTTCCAACTCCTTGAATGTAATGTCTGCCCTTTTTATGTTTACCATTCTTGTTTCTAGTAAATGCATTAAAAATAGAAAATTCTGTCTGTGAGTACCGCTTCAGCCGCTTCCTGCAAACTTTGACTCATAGTCATTTGTTATTCAGTGTCCGAGGGGCTGACAGGTTTGTGCCCCTGTTGGGACTGCTGGCACGTCTAGTTGGCGTTTGCACTGGGCATGGTCGGTGGTATTGTTCTGTGGCCTGTGCTCTGACTCCCTCTGTGGCTGGCCTGGGGTGAATGGTCCATGTGTGCTTGGCAAGAACACCTGTTTCCTGTTGAGCGTGGGGTCCTGCCGTCACCTGAGGCCTTCGACCAAGGATCTCTGCCTGCCTTTCCTACCCCCCATGGCCTGAGGGAAACCTGAGGGGAGCCCAGCCAGAGGGATGGGCCAGGAGCACACCACACAGCCTCCCCACACGTGGGGACGGCAGCCCCAGAAGGCCAGTGCCAGGTGGGTGCCCGGGATCTGCACCCCTCCCCTGACTGCTTACGCCCCAGGGCTTCGTGTGAGGACTTGAGGCTGGGGCTGCCAACTGAAGACTGGCCTTTCTCACCTTCTTTTTTTTTTTTACAAATT